TAAGCACTGCGGCACAGACCCTATGAATGCCATTGCGTGTAGGGCCCAGACACCCTTACAGGAGAGCAAGGGTCCCCTGACCCTGGGTGCATGCCAGTACTGGGCCTGATTGAGTATCCTGGTAGTAGGTGGTGGGTGCCCCCCACCCCCTGCCTCAGACCTCCCCTATCTCATGAGGGGCTTAGATGGACCGGCAATGTGACTGCCTGGAGCAGTCTAAGCAGAGGGTGAGGCAGCTGTGTTTTTGAGGGTCTCCCCAGAGCAGTGGGGACCCAGCAATCAGATGGGGTAGCTTCCAGCACGCCTGTCCCTACCTGACCTGGGCAGGGTATGGGGGGCTCAGGAATGGCTGAGGAATGTCTCTCAGGTAAGCCCCTCTGGTGCTGTATGCCTTGCAACTTTCTCCAGCCCCAGTGGCCACCATTAGGTCTGCAGAAGAGCTCTGTAAACTGTGGCTTGGGGAGGAGTGGTGGGGGAATGGGTGTTGTGTGGACCGACAGCTGGGCTGAGCACCTGGGGCTGAGTGGTGGTTGCTGCTTCCGCTGCTGTAAGCCCAGAGGAGGAAGCTGGGCCTCGGCCTCCTCACTTGCAGGTGGGACTGGGACGGGGCCAGTCAGGGTCCACTCTGTGTCCCAGAGGGATGAGCAGGTGAGAGAGGGCTCGAAGGGAAGGAGTCATGGGTGCAAACCCCGCTTCTAGCGGGTGGCGTGTGCCTGCATTCTGAGGCTTGGCTCCTGGCTGAGATGAAGCCATGATGCCATTGGGGTGGGGGTGGGGTGGGGCGGGAGACGCAAGGAGAGTGGCCAGCTAGGACCCTACCCAGGGTGTGGGGTGTGTGGCCTTCACCAGACCTGGAATCTCCCAGGTACCCCAGGAGGACTGCTGAAAAGGGATAGGGTGCTGCTGGTGTACCGGTGAGGCTGGGGGTGGGTGGGGTAGCGGAAACAGACCCCGTGCCCAAGCTAGACTGCCTCCTGGAGAGCGGGTGGGCCTGGAGGCTCGCCCTGTACTCACTGTGGCTGCACTGCCGCCCGCCGCGCCAGTCCTGGCCTGTGTCCGCCCAGCAGTTCCGGGTCCGTGTGGGGTACTCGTTCCCCGCCTTGGAGAAGTTCCCCACCTGGGGGCCATAATAGACCCCCTGGGAGCCAAGTCCACCAAAGCCGGCCACATGGGGGTAGCCGGAGAGGAGGCCGCTGTTTGGCGTGCCCACAGGCCTGCTCAGGATGTCCGTGATCCCATGAGGCGTCCCGGCGGCCAACTGGGGGCCCAGCCCGGGCGGGCTGAGCTTGTAGAAGGAGTTCTGCACCGAATACTGGCACATGGGAGCCTTCATCTCCGAGAACTGAGCCAGCGACGAGTTGTTCAGCAGGAACGTCCCCTGCAGGTTGGACTCCATGATCCCCAGGACAGGGAGAGGAAAGGCAGCAGGGTCCCGACTGTCCACTCGCAGGCCCCTACAGCCCGAGACCCCACAGTCGGGTCCAGAATCCCATAGCACACTAGGAGCGTCCAAACTGGCCCCAGTGCCCCCAACCACCCTCCCACCTAGAGCATCCGGCCCAGTCTTTGCCCAAGGATGGGGCACCCACGTCAGCTGCTCAAGAGGGAGGTGCTCCCAGGGCAGGTGAGAGGCCTCCCCAGTCCTCCTCCCGGCTCTCCCTGCCCTGGCTTGGAGAAGGGCGGCCCCCCACTCCTCAGTTCAGACCCCTCTTCTGATTTTCAATCTGGGGACCCTCCATGAGAAGTTTGAAGTTCAGAGACCCAACATTTCCCTGATAAAGATAGGGTCTATTAGAATACAGGCCCAAGACTGGCTGAGCTGCAAGAGGTGCGCTGCCATTGGTCAGAACTCACAGGAGCCTCACATTGGCTTTTCCTAGACAAATTGCACTTTGAAAGATTGACTGTAAAATCAGAGTGCTTGTGGGGTGTGTGTGTGTGTGTGTGTGTGTG